CCAAGGCACATTCCAGAACAGGCCCTGAGCACTGCCAAGAATGGTCCCCAAACAACAACAAAAAAGACCCTTTCTTTTGTAACATATTTGTTAATGAGAATTTTACTGGTTTTTTAACCAGTAACATTCTCACAGACACAAGAAAACACAGAATCTATACAGGGTTAATCAGGATGAGCTCAAAGTAGCCAGATTTAGAATTAATGAAATCTAGAATACAAATTTTCTCTAGAAGTGCTCATAGGAATTTTAAAAAGGCACAGGGATGTACAATATTCTATTTAGTATTCCCAGCTAAAAGTTGTGCTCTTTCAATACATTCACAATAATGGCATTTCGTAGCCGTTAAAGTGATAGCTAATTCAGCTTCGCTTGGAAGTTAAAACATTTTCGAGAGATCACTGAGTCATTCAAAAGAAAACTGACCTCTAAACCCTCTCAGTGCTCTCCCCAAGACTGAATTATAACAGCGTGAGGTACATCTGTAAGAACTAGACAAAAAATGATTAGAATCAGTATATGTCCCATAAGGGAGTTTTCAAGCTGCTCACACAATAGGTATGTACACTACTCTATGTGAAATCAAATCAGTATTCTAAAATGCTGCCAAGAGTCAGGTCAAGACAGTTGGAATACTCTTAAGATTTAAAGTATATGACATTGTACACAATGATTATTTTATAAATAACACATTTTCCCCAATATACTGAAAGTAATTTTATATAAAGCTAAGCATTTTTGGAGGGGTGTGACTGAAGTACACTTTTATTTGTAAGGAAAAAAAATTGTTACACAAAGTCAGAAATGATAGTCATTACTTCATAGAACTACGAAAAAGAAGTTACTTTATTATTATGCATTATATATATATAATCATTCTAAAATAGCAGTTTATTTAAAAAATACTGTTCAAAAGTTTTCATTCTTCTAACCTCTCTCTGACCCTTTGTTTAAAAAAAGAAAAACAGTACCCAGTGAAGGAATAATTACCTATGAGTAAAAAGTAACTGTAATTAGGTGAAAGATTAATAACATAAAAATACTTACTAGCAAACTTCCAGAGAATGTATATACACTAAAAAGTGAGAACTAGATAAACTATTCATGATACATTGAATATTAACAGTATTTGCTTGAAAATATGAATATTTATAACCAAAACAAAACATGGTCTAAAAAAGTTGGTAACATATCATACAGAAATACTTGCAAGTATTAATCTTGCATTCTTATTCTATACTGTGACTATGACAGTACATTCTATGTACATCCAGCAATAAACTAAATTACAATTGCATAAAAACTAAAAAATGCCTAATCACAAATTTTTCTTTACTGCTGATATCCTATAGAAACTGGGTTTCTCTGCTAAAATACACTTGTTTGAAGTTATAACTCCATTTCAATGTTTTCATAATTCTTGTTTACAAATATTTTTAAATAGTTAACTACCTTTCTGTAATATTTCTGAAGAAGTAAAATGTTACTTCTATTAAATCAGAGGCCTGAAAGGATAAATTATTTCATTTTGAGGATATGTGTCATTTTATAAAAAGGGATTTTTAAAAATCTAGGAGGTAAAGAGTCACTATCGGCAAAAGTGCAGAGGGAAAACCGGATTACATTCATTGGCTATTGTATCAACTTAACTTCTCATAAAACTATCCTGATCTATAAAATAACTTCAGAACTGAAGTATGTTCTCCTTTGGGAGTTATAAAACAAATTAGATATGATTACAGATTACAATTCAATACAATTAAAAATCAACTTATTTATCCCTCAGATTTCTGTTTTAAAGCCTTCTCATTTAAAAATGAACTTGAGTTTTCCCTAATGGATCAAGTGGGACACTTAATGTCATGATAATTTTTTATATTATGCTTTTTATTGAATAAAAAAAAGCTGATATGAGTAAATCCTGGGAAACTGTGGTAACTACACCTCCCCAAAGTGAACACAACAAACATCTGTTGCAAGAATGGCTTGGCTTTCAGACAGTATGTAAAGGGTGTTCTTTTTCCCAGTGTTCTGCTATTCAAGAGAAAGCTTATTTGTTTGGCAAGAAAACATGTTTCTACTATTAAATAAATTCCCAAGACATAAAATCTTAAGATTCTGGTGCGTTTAACAGAGATCATTACCAGGTATATCAAGAAAAGGGAAACCGGGATAAACAAAACTTCAATTCTAAAAGAGCAACAAGGGATCGGGCATTTTGCCTTTGGACTTTGGGTAACAAAGTAATTTTAAGCATTGTCTTCCTCCCTTAACTCAGTTCTTTACACAAGTATTGTACAGCAGTGGATCATGGCAAGGAAGGGACTAAATACATAACCTCCTGACAATTTTCATCCTTTGAAAAATCTCAGTGATAACTTGGCTTTCTCCTTTGGATTTCACTGACTTCAAACAATATCCTGGCATCCTCATCAAATGACAAGTGAATTCTTAGGTATACTCCAATGAAAAGGTCAATAATCGCAATATTTTTGCATAACACATTAGGCTCAAGTGTAGTCATTTTAAGGAGGCGGGGAAACAGCAACATATCATTACGATGCACTGTCTTTCTTTGAACTACATCAAAAGAAGTTTTGGTAAACAGATGCATTTTCCTCATTGCCAACAAAAAATGGTCCCATAAAGCCAAACAGTTTGTATACATTAAGCACAGACAGAATTCTTTTACGCAAACCAAATTTGAATACGGTATTTGAAAATTCCACGATAGGCAAACAAGTTGAGGTAAATTCATTTTAAAAGAAACATTAGGGACAGGAAGGTAGGTCAAAAAGCTAGAGCATATGCCTGGCATGCACGGGGTTTCAGTTTTGACTCAGGGGTCAAAGGGTACTGCATGGCCTTCTGGGCATTGCCAGGTATGGCCTGGCATAGGGGTGTGGAGCTACCCTCACCACTCCTTCTCAAAAAGCAAACAGAGCAAACAAAAGAAGTATATCAAAGTCACATATGCTCCAGTAAATATAATTCAGAATAATTTTCAAACCATATCTATGATTACTCTAAATTTACAGGCTGCCTTACTAAAATATGAATCACAAAAAATATTTGCCCTTTTCCTAGGGGAGACAACCAGCCAACACACACAAGGCATACTCAGAAGTAATTAATTGTTAAATGCTTCCTTAATTCAATGTGACAGACTGTAATTCCTATGGAGGATTAGTGTGAGTCACATATCAAGTTTACAGAACATATTAGTTTCAACTTATGATGTCGAAGAAAAAACCCAGAACAATAATATTTTAAATCTAACAGTAAAATATATCTTTTCAGCTATTGCATGGAGCATGAATAAAAACTTAAGTTAAAAACTTGAATAGTTTAAAAGTTCACATTAGTCCAAAGTTATAAAATTCATCTATTCCATAAGCGTGTTTCTTTTAATTAAATACGTGTACTTTACATACTTACATGTTATTGTATCTATGAATATTCTATAAAATACGCCTTTATATGTTCAATAATGAGTATCAGAATAATGCATTTTCAGCAAAGGTACCTTATAAGCAAGAACTTCTGCAACCCTCACAACTATCCATTATTACATACTATCATATCCATTCTACAAACTGCTGCTGAGAAGCCAAAAGCTGTACCTGTCTTATGAACAGACCAAGAAGGCACTGCAATTGGAATGCTAAAGATCACACAGGAGTGCCTCTAAATACATTTTTTATCTTAATTACTTAATATTGTCTCGATTTTCAAAATCCAGAAAGGAACAAGGTGCTAATTACTCGATGCAAATTGAGGTGGCGAAATGGTAGCCATGAGTTCTGTTTGTTCAACAAGAAATTCCGGCCTTCCTTAAGACCTGAGTGAAAATTCTCTCTCTGTTTATTACCAATTTTGCTCAGTATTTTTCATGTCAAAGTGAGTCATTCTAATCAGCCCTATTTATCAAAAAATCATACACATTATTCCCATTTTACAGGTGAGAAGACAGGTGCAGGGAAAAAGCAGGGGTCCATGGATCCCACATAGATCCTTTATGGACTGCCCTTGGACTTTTTTGTTCATTTCTCAGACCAAAGGGCAGTGTTCTTTCCAGTAATCTTCTTATTCTAGAGTCATTCAAGGTAACATGTGCTCTCTTGCAGGTAGGGGAAACAGATAGTGAAAGCCATCTTTACAGGTGCAAAGAAATGCATCACAAGCTTTGGTGTCACTGTACTTAGGTTAAAATCTGCCATAATTGAAATTTTTTAAACAATTCACACCCCTTATTTACTTGAACAGCGTGAATCAGAAACCCTCCTGAGAGAGTCCTTATTTAGTTTCCCAGAATTATTAGGAAGCTAGAAAATGAATTTAAATGCAGATGAAGAAATGGACCACATGGCAAAGGCACTCAATGCATCGAACTTGCAAAGTAAGATCCCAGTTTTCAGTAAGGCCTTTCAGTAAGGGCTGACGACAGAATATGCGCCATTGCTTGTACCAACAGTGAGCATTTCAGAATTGAAATGACATTTTAGGGCAATGGCTGCATGGCAGCTTATATGATACATTTCTTGAAAAACTTCTGGGGGCGGGGGGGTGGGTGGGAATGTCAAATAATCAAGGAAATGGCCTCTAAAGCAGACAGAAAAGATCCATCTAGAGATTAGATATTCTCTAACTTTGCCTGGCAAGCTACCCCGTGACGTATTCAATATGCCAAACACAGTAACAACAAATCTCACAATTTGTTGTGAGACGTTACTGGTGCCCGCTCGAGCAAATCAATGAACAATGGGAGGACAGTGCTATAGTGCTTGCTAAACAGTTAAAAATCACCCATACTCTCGAAGTAGGGTTAGGTAGAGACACCATAATGCTTATCAGATAATGCAGGAATTCTGCTAATAAAACTAAGACTCACATGAAACAAAAACAGCAAATCCCTAATTATAGACGTCTCATTAGATTCTAAGCAGCAGCAAAAGTACAACAAACAGGACAGACAGAAACTTGCTATCTAGGAAACATACCTCCTGTACAGATCGAGCAGCTGGCTTGTCTTGATGATTAGCCAATATTAAAAAGGGTAAAGTGCATAGCTGTGGATGCTGAAGAGCTGAGTGCAGTTCATTTCTAGAAGTTTCTAAATCATCTTCTGAAGAAGCACTGTCTAATACAAATATTACCCCTTGAGATCCTTGGTAGTAGCGACTCCAGTATTTCCGGATATTGTCAGCCCCTGTGGGAAACAAGCAAGTTACTCTTTAAAAGAAGTGTCCCACGACACATGGTGTGTATACGCACAATGGAATACTAGTCAGCTACATGGAGAGATGACACCTTGCCTATGGCTACAATATGGATGGAACGAGCGGAGGTCATGCTAAGCTAAGTAAGTCAGAAGAAAGACAAATACTAGAGGTCCTCATGCGGTATATCAAGAAACAAGGTAAGGGATTAAACAATATTCAATGAAACTGAATCCTTAAATTTTGACCACAGAGCTGAAGTTAATACGACTAAAAGGATGTAATGGATTGTGATGGAGAAATAATGCACTGTAGAGGTGGGTGTGGAATGATAATACTATACCCCTAAAGCATACAAACACCTATTTTTTTCAGGTTTTTTTTTTATTAAAAATTTTTTTAATAGTGAGACATCATGAGGTACAGTTGCAGACTTACACCTTTTTGTGCTTGGGTTTCAATTATACAATGATCAAATACCCATCCAACCACGGGTGCCCATTTCCCACCACCACGGATCCCAGTATCCCTCCCACCCCCCACCCTCCATCCCACCGTGCCTCTGTGGCAGGGCATTCCCTTTTGTTCTCTCTTATTGGGTGTTGAAAACACCTATTTTTACACTCTCATATCTCAATGTTTCTTCTGTAGCACTGTCCTCCCGTTGTTCATCTATTTGCTCAAGCGGGCCCAGTAACGTCTCCATCGTGAGACTTGTTACTGTGTTTGGCACACTGAATACATCACAGGTATCTTGCCAGGCTTTGCCATGCGGGCGAGAAACTCTCAGTAGCTTGCCAGGCTCTCCAAGAGGGGTGGAGGAATCGAACCTGGCTCGGCTGGGCCAGCTGCATGCAAGGCAAACACCCTACTGCTGTGCTATCGCTCCAACACAAAAATTTTATTTGAATAAAATAACTCTCAGCAATTGAAAAATATGCCCAACAATTGCTCCCATTGGAAATCAACATAGCTTTTAAAAAGTAACTGCAGAGATTATGGTTGATTAGAACAAAGAGGGCAACAAGGTAGACATGGCATTAAAGGAGAACACAAGAGCTGAGTTCTACAGGGTTTTTCTTGTCAAAATGTGTAAGAAATGGTCAATGATAACTGACTCTAAGACACAAAACTCAAAAATATTTTTAGGTTTTACCAAATTAGCTCTATGTAGACAATATTCTATGAATTGAATTTGATTGACCTCATTGGACGATTCATGTAACCAGTCTCTTTCCAAGCTGTTAACGTGATCTTAGTTACATGTTCTAAAAGAAATGCATGCTATTGGGGGAGGCCTTGTTTAATTTCCTGCAGCGAGTTGAAACTACCAGCACAATACAGCAGCTGGGAGATGGAGACACTGGCCCCGTGAAGGAGATCTGTGGAGGAAACCAGCAGCATCTGCTCTGAGCTACATCCAAGCATCATCCATATGTTAGAGAACTAGCTTGAAGCAGTGAGAGTATGACCTAATCGTAAATGTTTCAAACAACAAAAATATTGTGTGCCTGAGAATATGTATATACACTGATGATAAATTGTACCAACATAATGAATGTGTAGCAACACAATTTTCATGCAATGGAGACTTGTGCAACATGCTTTGCTGTCAAATCTGTAGAGTTCATTGATGCTCACAGAATGTTTTAGTTGCAGTTGCTCAATATCCATAGCCAAACAAAACCCAAAACTTGGAATTGCCCATGTATTCTTCTGAAATAAATGCCAATTGTGCCAAGTGTCTTAATTTGTATTAACACATTTACCCAACACTGCCCTATGAGATGGGTTCTGTTATAATTCTCATTTGACCAATGAGGAAATCAAGATTCACAGTAATTACAAACTGTAATTTTTTTTACAAACCAGGGTTACATACCTAAAATATATATTTAGGCTGAATTCTACTGAAATAAAAGGCTCATTTAAGGCGACGAACTAGAGGACACTGCTATCATAATAGGCCAAAAAGGGCAAAAAAGGGGACAGAAAGAACTGGTTAGAATAAATGCTCTTGGACATCTGGCAGTAAATCACTTCAATTATTAGACTGATTAAATATTCTATATAAGTTCTAAGGTTAGGACTCATAAAAGAATATTTAGAAAGCCATTATTCATCTTTGCTCAAATCTTCAAATCTTGTAAAGCAAATGTCAATTACATTAAAGTCTGCAAACTTAACAAGGGACCAAATACGTTTACAGAATTAAGGGAGTTAAGGATAAGTGTGGAACTTAGCTATTGGAAGTACAAGAGACCTAATTCTTTCATGAGCTCACCAATTTCAAGAAACTATTTTCACCTGCCACATTCAGGAGTACACTTGCACCAGTAAATAGCGAGACAAAAATGATAGTAAGTATGAAGACTACCATGTTGGCAGATGAAACAGTAGCTTTAGTCAGAAGCAGCCTAAACCCAGCAGGGGGGAGAAAACCAGCAAAGCCATGAAGGGTGGGATACTCTAAAGTGACAACTACAGTCAGTCTTGGTTTAGTCATAGACCCAAATGGAAAATGGTGCCAGGTGCTCTGAGAAGTAAGGCTAATTGAGCAAATTAGGAACACCTGTTTGATGCCCAGATGCCAACATTCCAAATCCACACACCAAATCCAACAGGAGTAACAAACATTAGGTATCATATCTAATAATATTCCAAGGCCATTCTCATTCTAATGGCTGAAAAAATATGTTTAAAAATTATGGGGGGGGGGGGGGGAATTCAGAGGTTACTCCCAGCTCTAGAGGTACACTATGCTGAGTACCAACCACCCGATGGCATTCAGGGTGCTGGAGCTAGTAGAACCAGGGACTCAGTAGGCAAAGTGTTGCCTGGCTCATTGAGCTATCTCTCCTGTCACTATTTTGTACATGTGGATTGAAAAACAAAGAGTTGGGACTACAGATACTGGGTGTGTGTTATGCTTGGTGTTCTAATTTCTCATGACCTGATACCACCTTGTGAAAAGTCATAAAAAAGACCCTTGAGAACCTCAGATATCTTCCTGAGAATCAGTCTGGACAGGCTGGTTCAAAATACTACAAGAAGCTTAGAAAGAAGCAGGAGATTTACATGTTCTCCCAGTGAAGATTCACTTTGACAGAATGTTCTGGGTTTCCGAAGTATTGATAATTCATGTTCCAGGTGGAGGGGCACAGAATCAAATATCACTGAAAGAAAATGGTATTTTTGCAGTGTTCACTGACTGAACCAGCACCCACTGACACTGACACTGTTCTCCCGTTGTTCATTGATTTGCTCGAGCGGGTCCAGTAACGTCTCCATTGTGAGACTTATTGTTACTGTGTTTGGCATATCGAATACGTCATGGGGAGCTTGCCAGGCTCTGCTGTGTGGGCGAGATACTCTCAGTAGCTTGCCAGGCTCTCTGAGAGGGACAGAGGAATCAAACTCGGGTCGGCCATGTTGGCTGCGTGCAAGGCAAACACCCTGCCGCTGTGCTATCGCTCCAGCCCCCTACCACCAAAGAGGGGGGAAAATGCCAGAAATGGGGTTGAGAGGAGGACACAAAAGGTAAGGCACTTACCATGCATACAGTTGACCCTAGTTTAGTCCCCTGAGCACAGAGTAGGAGTAAGTCCTAACAAGTGTGGCCCAACTCCCTCCCCCTCCTCCAGACAACAGCAATCATTTGCTGGTCTCTCATGAAGCATGACACTTGATCATATTCTGACAAACTGGGACTCAACACAGTTGGAAACTTCTGTAAGGTTTAGTTCCTTCACAGAAAGAATTTCCTGAAGAGAGCTAGCTGCTTCTCTCTTTTAGATTTCATTAGGTGATAACGTGATGCTTTGAACAGCATTACTTTTCTAGCTACCGTGAAAGAGGCATAACAGCACCATGAAGATATCATTATGGGAATAAAGATGCAGCCTAGATCCTTGAGAACAAGGTTGAACAGCAAGACCACCACCACCTTTCAAAATATTCTCTTTCTTTTCTTCCTTCCTTCCTTCCTTCCTTTCTTTCTTTCTTTCTTTCTTTCTTTCTTTCTTTCATTGAATCACTGTGAGATAGTAACAAAAGTGTCATGATTGAGTTTCAGTTGAACAATGATCAAACACCCATCCCTCTACCAGTGTGCATCTCTCCACCAATGTCCCCAGTATCCCTCCCACTAACCCCACCCAATGTTACACCCTGCCTCTGTGGCAGGTACCTTCCTTCATACTCTCTCTCTACTTCAGGCATCATGGTTTGCAATAAGATACTGAAAGGTCATCATGTTTGGTCCTTGGATGCCTTATTCTAAGTGCCTATTATTCAAGTCCGTTTTAGAAGACTCTTGTCTATCACTGAGAACCAAAATAAAAAGCTTAAGTTACTTGACAATGCTGTTATTGAACCTGGGTTGGCTGCATATAAGGCAAGTGCCTTATCCACTGGACTAACTCTCGTTCCTCAAAACACAATTCTACATCATTATTTTACTTCAGTATCAACTCCTATTCAGTTACCTGAGGACTTTGCTTGCTCTATTAGTTCTGACTGTCCTCTCTGAGCTTATTTTGGTTCAGAGTCTCATAACTTTCCACTGAGCCCTTAGAATGGCATTAATAAAGGGCTGGAGCGATAGCACAGCGGGTAGGGCGTTCGCCTTACACGCGGCCAACATGGCCGACCCGAGTTCGATTCCTCCGCCCCTCTCGGAGAGCCCGGCAAGCTACCGAGAGTATTTCATATGCCAGACACAGTAACAACAAAGTCTCCAATGGAGACGTTACTGGGCCCGCTCGAGCAAATCGACGATCAACGGGAGGGCCTTTACCTTTACCTTAATAAAGGGTATCCTCACTACTGTCCTGGCATACAGAAAACTAGTTTAGGAGTATCACCATTCCACTCAAACATACAATATACCCATAATTTGAAACTCACCAACTGCACACATTTATAGATTTTCATGACTTAGCACCAACAGATCATTCTTACTGCATTTCTCCAATGTTCTTCTGTACGT